CACTGCTTCAAACGTAGAAATGCCACTTCACACTTCTCATCCCAACCATAAATAGTAGCATGTTTTGACATATTCTGGAGAAGATCAGTTAAAGGGGCTGCTATCCCTGAAAAGTCCTTCACAAATCGTCGAAAAACTCTAGCCATACCAAGGAAACTACGGAGATCATGCACTGTTGAAGGTATAGGCCAATCAACCACGGCCTGAATCTTTGCAGGATCAGCTCTCACTCCATGTACCGAAATCAAATGCCCGAGATATCCAATCTCCTCTAAAAAAAACTCGCACTTGGATAACTTCGAGTAGAGCTTGTTGTCCCTCAAAAGTTGTAAAACACTTCGCACATGCATCTCATGTTCCTCCATGGAAGAGCTGAATACCAGGATATCATCAAAATAATCAATTGCAAACTTTCCCAAGTAAGGTTGTAGAACTTGATTCATCAATCTCTGAAAAGTTGCAGGAGCATTTGTCAAACCAAATGGCATCACTAAAAACTCGTAGTGACCTGTCCTTGTCCGAAATGCAGTTTTCGGAACATCCTCGGGCTTGACACAAATCTGATGATATCCTTGCCTCAAATCAATCTTTGAAAAATATCGAGCACCACGAAGACGATCGAGCAAATCATCAATACGAGGGATCGGGAACATATTCTTCACTGTCCTATCATTCAATCCCTTGTAATTCACACAGAGACGCCATGTACCATCTTTCTTTTTGACCATCACCACCGGAGCAGCCCAAGGAGACTTGCTGATCCGTAACCACCCTTTCCGAAGGTATTCAGCAAGCTGCCTATTAATCTCCTCATCTTCAGCGGGACTAGTATGAGTCGGTTGTCGCTGAAAAGGAGTAGCTCCAGGAACCAAGTCAATCTCATGCTGAATTCCACGTTCTTGAGGCAAACCATCAGGTAACTCATCCGGAAATACGTCACGGAACTCCTCGTGAATGGAATCCACCTGTGCCTCATGCCCACGAACGTACTCCAAATCAGACATGATCATATTAGAAAGAAACTGGTACACCACAAAAGAATTAGCTATCTCATGCATGCATGTCACCAACTCCAAAGCGTTAATCAATGGAGTATCACTATTGTCTGTCCCGACAATCTCTTTGATAGTGCCACCAACTTCGATATGCAGAACATTACGCTCCCAATCGATTCTTGGCTT